TAGCAAAAGTAATCGTTCCATCACATAAGGCAGTCACGCTTAGTAATGGAAATAAAACAATCATTTCGCGCCGGGGTCAGCCAAAAAAGTCTTGTTCCTTAATTCTGCCTTGCTCCTCCCTTGATCTCACCTTTAACGTCCACGATCAAAAGGCAAGATCTCCGCCTTTTGCTCCTGATCTAACCTGGGCGTTGAAAGCTGCTCGAATTTCTCGGGGTGAATTTCTTAGGCGGCGGTTCAAACTTCACGCGAAGCGCTGTAGCATGCTGTAGCGCGTTACAGCGCGTCGACGCACACTGCAGTGCGCGTCGACGCGCTGTAACGCGCTACAGCCGCAACAGCTCTCCACTCCTGCGGCTGCGTTCGCGTCTATAAGACTGGAACGCTGTTGCAATGGTATTACGCTTCAGTGCGTCGTCGCGCGTTACAGCGCGTCATCGCGAAGTCCGAACGCTGCCTTATTGTGTGAAATGAAAGGACTCACCGCTACAGTCGGAACACTTGGCGAGAAATTGTAATTATCGGCGTCGTCCACGTGCATCTGATTGAACTGCGAACGGCTGAAATTAGTTCGCACTCGAAAATTAGAACAAGGGGATAACTGGAATGTACGCGAATGGTTCTGAGTAAAACTACGACGCTTTGTTCGAGGGAAGGGGGCCGCCGAGTTACAGAACCATTATGTACAAGGTGATGGGAAATTTCTAGCGCTCTCACTTGAAGTTTTTCATTCTATAGTGGAGGGTTTCCTGTTCCTAAGGCTGACGACGTGTAGCTTAAACGTATTGCAATAGATAAGCAAAGAGGTATGAAATGATACGACCTTCCACACGTACTGCCATATTCAAACCCCGCAGGAGAGGTACGCCAAGGTGTCAAATCGTCAAGAAATTTCCTAAACATCGATAAACGATTCCAAATGCGAATGCAGGCCATTCTTCGGAGAACAGAAAACTGAAGAGTACAGGAAAGGAAGTGAACATCCATTAACAGCTGCGAGTTGGAGAAACGTGCAGGAAAGGAGTGAGAGAAGCAAGTCGGGAGGAGGGGGAACCTTAGATACAGACCCTAGCTGAGTGAGGGCTGTGACAATCGAAAAGTCAAAACATTTCTGTCAAAGGTCAACACTGCTCCTTCTCTCTTTCCAGTGAATGGACACGACCTCTACGCTGGGACTACCCAACGTACCATGTGTCCTGACTTCAACAGATCCGGGGATGTTCCGGGGAGATCGACCACGAAAAATTGAAAAGGTATGAGGTCTCTGAAAATGACAGAGCGACGGTGCTGCGGTTGAAGGGAACGCAGTATGCCCACCCAAATGTTTACGACACCACATACTGAGCCTTTGAAGCGTGATTCCGCTTCCGACTTCCGCATTCCCTGAACACCGGAACCAATTATTGCTGAGGCAAAGCAGGCACGACACGTGTTTCCTTTTTTTAAAGATAATGGTTGCGCAGACATTGTCAAATTATTCAGCAATCTAGCGATTCCGGAACCACACCTCCCACTGACACCTGGTTCTGAAAGTGAGACGGGATGGGTAGTCCATCGAGATAACGCGGGGGCAGCAGCTATCAAGATATGTTCCTCTGAGGTAAGCATAGCACGGAAATCTCCTAAATCGGACGCAGCACCTGTCCTCAGGTCTGTAAACCAGCATTATCAAGAACAGGCAGTGCAGGAACGTGTTCTTTCTTCCATTACGTGCCACTTAGTGGTAAGCTTCTATAATTTGGGACGAGAGAAATGGCTCGCTACTGCCGGAAAATCATTCGGAAAGCGAGTTCCAACAGAGATGAAATGCGCCCACCAGCGGCATTGCCACCACAGGTTGTTTTTGTACTGAATCGACCACTAACCAGTCACCACTGGTAGAGCAAGGCAGTCGAAAACGGTCCCACTCTGCACTTCAAGTCCGGATATCGTGCAAGTACCAGGATGAGTCAAGTCACATTCTAGCGTACGAGGGGTGCAGCGGGTCTCCTGGATACTGGGGGTACTCTGATCTTTGCAGTCACTTGAGTGACCGAAATTCTTCCTCTTTATTAGCGACTCATCCTGTCTTAACCACTACCGCCCCTCCCCCAGCAAATAAATAACCCACTCAATGGGATTCTTCCAACGAAGTTGTACGTTGACGCGAGCTAATGCTCTTCTGTGATTTGATACGCCGTCCTCTGAAAAAAGGCCACACGGTCAAAATAAGAGGCCAGATAAAAAATCCGTCTATTGGCCTCATTTGACAAGAGAAAAAACTTCAAAGGCAGGCTTCGCAATGGCCAGCGAAAAGTTCGTAGGCGGCGTTGAGGAACAAGTTGTATGGGCTAGGTGACTCGCTCGTGAAGAAAAAAGAAGAAAACCGTAAAA